AACAAAATGTTCTCAGAAACCAGGTCTCAGAAAAAAGTACATTAAACTGTGCAGGCTCTTCAACTAGATTTTCACTTCTCTCTACATAAGGCTGTAACATATGAATGTGACATAACTGTGCCTATTTACGCCCATCTGGAGTGACCATTATATAATTAAGGTCATTTAACTTCTCAATGAGATAAGGTCCAACAAATCTAGAATGAAGCTTGTTACTGGGCACCGGAAACAACGCATGAACCTTTTCGCCTGAGTTAAGTTCTTCAGCATCTACATCACACCTCTCTTTCAAAGATTTCTGAGTCGAACTAAGATTAGTTTAAGTTAACTTACATGCTCTAAAAAGCTTAGTGCGAAATCTGAGACATACTGCAAAAGATTAACAGACTGGACTGTTAGATAAAAACTCCCTATAAGAAACTTAAGAGGTCTGTGTAGTGACGACTGTGATTCTTCAGACATTTCATACCCTCGTCCCAGTCTTTCTCTGTTTCGAAGCCACCTTTAACGAAAAACTGGCACATTGCCTCTGATATGTCGGAAAATCACAGTCGTCACCAGACAAACGACGAAGTCTGAGAAACTGCGAAAAAGGAATGGAATTCTTGACGTGTAATGGACGCGAAGATGAATACAACAAGCAACTATGTGAGTCTGTAGCTTTAAAGTAAACCCTACTGGATAGACCGTTGCCTTCAATTGAAAGTTTGATGGCTAGAAAAGCCAAAGAAGTGTCAGAAATTTCCCAGGTATATTTCAGGGCCGGGCGAAAGGAATTAATAGCGTTTATTAATTGGGTCAGCTCATCTCTGGTAGAGGAGGTGGCGCCAATACAGTCGTTTATGTAGCGACCGTAGAGTTCAGGTTTGGGGCCGATGTATTGACTGAAAAATTGGTGTTCGATAAAACCTACGAAACGACTGGCGTAGGTAGGTCCAATTTAGGTATCCATGACTGTTATTCTCTCCCACCGGCGCAGCAACACAGTTTCGTTAGAAACTTATCCTCTTTATTCATTAAAAGTATTTTTCCGCTTCGTGTAGCCTTTGAGTTTGGGTTAGGGCTTGATCAAATTCTTGATAAACATATTTTTTTAAATACATGGAGTTGAACGTCTCTGCAGCTAATGCTGTCTTTAGACACGCAACCCCTTTTTCAAACATTTTTTTTACGGGGAGGGGGAGAGGGATCGCATGCTCTTAAGGTGGAAGGGAGAGGTATCAGTCGCCTTTAACAGTATGGAAGATGGAGTTTTTTTTTTTATCTCATTCACCTCCCTTCACTCCCCCCCTCCCTTTTCTTCCCTCCTTTGGTTACTTAGGTTTCCTGATAGGGTTAGGTATTCAAATTATATTGGTAGAATGTAGAAAACCTTTGTATCGTGTAAAGGTTGTGGATATTCGTCGTGGTGAATAACAATAAAAGCTAAGTTTTTCGTTTGTCTCACAATGTAGTCACCTGTGATGTAGATCGCGACGTTTCGACTGCATACTTCTAGTCTTCTTCTGGCGATAGATCGACTGGTCGTGCGTGGTCTTATAAAGCATGATGCTCTGCTGTGATTAGTTGTTTTTTAAAAGCTCTGATTAGTGCATTTCGATCCTTGCTCATTCATTCAGTGATTTGCTCCCTCGGCGGTCCATTGTCGCACGGCTCTCCTGTTGTTGTGTTTTTTGATCGTGGGCATCCACGCTTCTGGAATTTCTATTCCACTCTCCCTGTTGATGTTGTCAGGGTTAAGTCTTGTATGAATTGCCTCTTTGACCCTGCGCGTATAGTAATAAGGGTCACGATCAATAAACTTTATTTCGTTCCAGAGTGGCTTGTGTCCGGTGTTGTGGGCATCCTTTGAAACGGGGAATCCGGAAAACTAAGCCATACAGGATTCCTTGTGAATGTGGCATGGTGTATGTCGTAGTATCGCTTCCGGTCTGCGGTCGTTTATTAGTTCTTAGGCCCCCTGGTATATATATGCGGTATTCATGATACAATTAGCAATCTTATCTTTATTCTGCATCTGCTCGTGTACGTGATTAAAGTGTGTGTTTATTTTTTGACAACGCCTCCTAATTTCTTCAAAAACTACAACAGTGTACATCGGAGAGACTGGTAGACTTATGCAAGACAGAATTAAGGAGTACGATCGAGACATCCGACTCGCCCGTACCGAGACCTCCATCGTTTCAGATTTATCCAAGTATAGGTCAGCAAGTAAGGCGATTACTTTTTTCTGTACATTAGAAATGATCTAGAGCAAATGCTACTCAACGTTATATCGGTAACAGAAGATAAAAGTCAAAACGTACAATACAACCTTATTGAACGGTACTTACCTTTGAAGTTTCACTTAAGGATTTCGCACTAACTCCGTTCGCTACCATGCAGCAAAACATTTGTAACTGTGCAAAAAACTTTAGGATAGGCATGACCTTTTATTGATTTTATCTGTTTGTCTCAGTAGGGTCGTAACTGTTAACTCGTACACTTGGAGCAAGGAATTAAGGTCAGGATATTAAAACGAAAGCTATCCTCGTCTACAAGCTTTGCTCCGTTCCAGTGAAATAGGCTGAAACTCAAACACACCTGAATGCTTGTCTCGTAAGTATTGTATGTCGTACCCTTTAACGTGTCTTGGATCGGAGATTACTGTATTTTGTGTCCGGCTGAGTAAATTGCTTAGCGTTGAATTTTAATTCAGCTTCTGACGTCACTTAAACGTTGCTTATGTGTTTCAAGTTTTGCTGTTTTGACGACCGGATGCGACATTGACTTCTGGTGGCTTTTATTTGAAGAAAAATTGAGAGTTAAAACAAACTTAGTAAGCCCCGAGAGCATTTTCAAAAAGTGAGATATTTAATAACTCAACAATTCCATTGGCTCTGGTTGGATACGAGATAAGTATACCCAACCCATATCAAGCGCGCGCTCATGGAACAATTGTTAAATATAGTGAACATAATATTGTACGAACGAGATTGGTTCTTCGATTACGGCTTACGTCCATTTTTTAAGCAAGACCACTAAATGAAAAAATTGCAGAGACTTGGAGTCATTAGCCGGTTCTTGGCGTTCAGTTGGTAAAACTGAAGGAAATAAATGAGCTGCGCGGTAGTGGCAGCGAAGCAATACGCGACCCGACCCAAACCCATATACCTAAATATATATATAAGTTTTCAAGAAGTTTGTGAACTCCTCGACATGTGGGTGACCAGTGGCGTTCACGACAAAAGGTAAACCTTAAAAAACTTTCAGCTGTTGTTCACTTATAAAGCTAAAAATATTTAGATTAGCAGTGTACAGAAGTTTTTGTGTTCGTTTTTTGTGTTTTGTGTTTAAATCTCGGAAGCTAAGTGACACCCCTAGCGAAGTGCAAGAGAAGAGGATGGAGACCCTCTCTAGGGTTCTCATTGTAATTGCATATTTTGCGAGAGAGTACCAATTGTTCACTGCTGAACACAGCTGTTAAGGTATGATTAACTGGCAGAAATAACTCTAATGATACTCCTACAAACTCAACTACCTTTTCAGACAAAGTGTAATATTCTCACCAAGGAGCGACTCCTAAGGGCAGTACAGTAACTATCCTTTGTAAACTTACTTAATCCTATTACAGACTGCAACCTAGCTCACCAATGACACAATCTTTGCGTCAAAAGATTTACTCATTCTTCCTTTCAACCACCATTTCTGCTCTTCCAAAAACTTTAAATCTTAAAATGTAGGTTCTTTTAGTCCTACCACACCTTGTATTTGACAAAGTTCAACATTTGCAGAAATGTCAGCAAACACCTTTAAAAAATGACATAAAAATATCTGAGAATTAATTTTGCAGAGCTAAGACGACCCCCCTCTCTCCTCTGTATGCTGGAGCATCATTTTGCTCCCAAAAGCAAAATAACGTAATTCTCCTTCATTTGAACGTTAAGACCATTTCTCAAGCAACCTCTGCTCCAGACTGAAAGAGCGTTGTTTTTCATTAGGTACTGTTTCTAGTGCAATTATTTATATCAGCTGAGGAAAGGGTTTTGACCAAAAGGTAACTTAGTTTATAATTATGTAAGATTGATCGACTCTTAACCTCTGCTGGAAGTGACACGGGAACATGGTCTCTTGGATGTAAGTCTCCTGAAACATGTAAAAGAAAGCGAGTTTTTGCACTTCCGGAAGCTCTTTTTCGCCCAAGTAACGCTGGTTTGGATTTGTCATCTTTCGAAAAAGGGATCCAGAGAGATGGGTCACGATATAATAGATCATTGTCAGGGACTGAAAGATGTAAACTTGTGTTCGGCATCACCAGGCAGACAAGAGTCAACTCCGAACTTTTCAACACTTTTATTATCAGAAAAAAAAATTAGTTATCACATTAACAACGTATCCAAGAAAAAAAAAGGCTTGCACACGTATCTAAGACCAGTTTCGTTGAGTAATAGTATCTGGTACGCAAAAAAACTGTAGGGCTATTAGGCCAAACAACAAACTTTCTTACAGAATTAATGTGTTACGTATACCGTTAGTTTTACTTATAAGTTCAATGTAAAAGTATTTCGAACTGGTATCGCTGGTAAAGGCGGTCTTAGGGAAAGAAATTTATGCGCACGATTAGCTTTCCTGCAAACAAGTGGGTTTTACGGCAAAATGTTTTTAGCAAAGCGAGAGCTCATCAATCTGGTAAATTGCATTTTTTTTTTCTCCGCACTGTCCTGCCTTTTAGAATAAGCCAGAAAATAAACTCAACTCAAACGCTTGTGTCGAGCATACGTGTAAGTGCTTAATATGTTAAAAAGAGAATGAGAGAATAATTTATCGGCAAAACTTAAAAAAGCGTTTCAGCGTTTAAGAATGTAAAGTCAATTGAATTACAACGTTCCAGTCTTACTGCTTAACAAACATGGCTATTTCTACCTAGTAAGCGTGTAAGGAAAAGATGATTAATCCATAAAACTTGTTTGGGCGAAGTGTTCAAAATGTTAGCCAGTCGTACATTGTGGACGTGTATCTAACTACACCATTAAATCCTCGACGTTTGCATACAACTGCTTGTCGTACATTGTCATGTTGATCAGCTTCTGCAAAGAAAAATAATATAGTAATCAGTATCAGTAAAAAAGTGTTCCTCTTGAAAAGAGGTTATTCTCAAAAGTCGTCAGCTTTTTTTACGTCAAAACATTCAAGGAGAAAGTGTTTTATGGCTTCGTCGTCTGCTAATCTTTGTGCGTCTCATCCTATGATCTTTTAAATAACCACGTGTCAATTGTCCTTGAGACGTTCTAGTTCGCTTCTTTGCTTCAGCGACATAACAAGAAGATGCGATCCAAACTTCGTTAAAATTACAGAGATGGGTACAAATTACTACGCTATCTAGGCTCAATACTGTTAAGCTTAGTCTTAATTAGCTGAGCCTAAGCCAGTCGGTCCTTCGTGAAAAAAAAACTTTCATGTTGATCAAAATTCTCACCTTGTGTAGGGTTTCCATTTCCTTGAGCTGATTTTTCAATTCAGTGAAAGTTGGTCTTGCATCTGGGTCATTCTTCCAGCATTTCATCATGATCTGATACCTGGTAATGTTCAAATGATCTGTTAAAGATTTAAAGAATGTTTCCTCATACGATGAGGGAGAACGAGTGAACAAAGAAAACTTACAATTTTTCATCGACGTGTTGTGGTTTAGGCATCCTGTATCCATCCTGAAGTAAGTTTGCAATTTTTCTTCCATCCATTCGTGGGTATGGTGAGCCGCCTGGAAGAATCATAAGACCACCGAAATATAAATGTGACGAAAAATAGACCGTCGCTGAAACACGACCAGTGTCACTTGATGGAGTTTGAGGTTGCATGGGGAAGCTCTTTACGTTTGTCTAACTGAACGCGATACCTTGTAAATACGCAGCAAAAAAAAAAGAAAAAGAAACCAAACATATCGTTATAAACTTCTATTCGATAATACCTATGGTGAAAATCTCGTACAGCAAGACTCCATAACTCCATCTGTGGAATTACAAATCAAATAAATATAAATTAGGTGACTGAAGACATTAACATTATATGTGACAACTAAAATATGTATATCCTTTGACAAAGCATAGAATTGGAAAATTGCTAAGGGTAATTATCGGGTATACTTACACGTCACTTTTGGTGGTATATTTACCATACAACAAGGCCTCATAAGCTGTCCACTTCACGGGAAGACGGCCCTAAAGATTTTAAATATCACTTTGTGAAACAGCTCAAAAATCATAGGAAGCGACTAGTCAAAGACAGTGATATGTAAAGTTGTACACGTATACGCATTGCTAATTTTTTCATTCGGTTCCCTTCCAAGGAATTCATGATCAAAATCAGGAATATATCAGTTTTACCACAACAATGATCCTGAAAGATCACTAAACTGAACGACATGTAGTACCATCCCCACCTCCCTCCCCCTCTTTCTTAATTACCTTAGTCTTTCGTTCATAAATATTTTCCTGCTGCACATCTCTGGCCATTCCGAAGTCGGTCACTTTACAAGTTTCCTTTTGTCCAACCAACACATTACGGGCCGCAAGGTCTCGGTGAATGATCTAAGAAAGAATTGGTGCAACAGCAAAAATTAGCGATTGCAGAAGAAAAATAACTGATATGAAATGGTTCAGGTAGGAAAATAGAAACGTCTAGCAACATAATATGGTGTGCGTATTTCTCTTTCTTCCAGAGGGCAGAGAATTAAATTCACTATAATTACTGCCTCATATTCCAAAGAGAGGCAAACTACTTTATTTGTGCAATACGTAGTTATTTCATAGAACGCCTATCTTAAGTTTTTAATCTAAATAGGATTCTATAATGTGGCAGTTTAGCGACCAAAGACGAATTTTTGAATTTCAAGTTTTAATTCCTTCTCTTTCTTGTCACTAAAATGGATATTTGTTGAACACTTAGTTTGGGCTGAATATCTTAAAAGATCCTATCCATTCACATCTCTGCCTCTGCATACACGAGAAAAACACAGGTACTTTATTTCAATGGGGCGCATTTGCAACGATGCACAAATATCGCCATTCGCACATTGAAATAAAACTTAGACGATGACTTCAAAATTGTGAGAGTTCCTGGCTCTAAAAAAAAATAGCGTCAACAACACGGTAAGAGTACGTTTGCATCTCCCGGGCGTGATCTTGTGAGACATAACATTCTATGCAAGACAAAGCTTAATATGACGATACAACTTACAAGAAGGCTTTAGAATTGTTTGTCATTTGTGTTTTTTTTCTCAATTAACTTACAGATTTTGAGGACAAGTAACTCATTCCATCTGCAATTTGCCAAGCAAACTTCATCAGCTGCTGTGACGTCAGATTTGTTTGTGGTTTGATATCCGGGTCTTTGTAGTAAGTGTCATTTAATCCACGGCTCTTCCTCAGGTAACCCAGCAGATCCCCAAAAGGCACATATTCAATCAAAACCAAAAGCTGTTCTGGAAAAAAAATCAGCGCTTTAAATGATATATTACCCTCTAAAAAAAAATTAGCAATAAATACAATAAATGAATAGCCCAGTCGTGGTCAATACTTTTGAAGAAATCGCACGAAAATAAGATGTAGTTTAACGAAAAGAAGGAGAAAAAAATATGTAACGGTCTAATAAGAGGGTAAAGACCAAATATTCTCTTCCAAAACGCGTTTCCGCTTACACAACAGAATGGTCTGTTCAGAGGCAAATATTTGGTCTTAGTCTATCAGTAAATCCAGGAGCGTCTATGTCGGTTAAAAAAAGATAAAATTACCTCATGCGATGGTTTTTTGTTGTGCTTCATTGTGAAGCAGTGACTCTTCCATTGGAGCAAATTATTAATGACGAGAAAACGTCACAGAGTAAATCATAAGCAAAATGTGCACAAAAAAATTAGACCCGCATAACCAAAGCATACCAGATTTTGTAACACATCCAAGAAGTTTAATGACGTAAGGATGTGGTTTCAGCTGCTTCATTGTGTCAAGTTCTTTCATCAAATCTCTCTTGTCTGATTCAACAGCGTTTGCTAGAGCGTAATAAACAAGGAGTAAAATTTGGTTAGAGGGAAGGTAATGCGAAATGCCGAAACAATAACATACGTTATAATCATGAAATGGTAAATAGCTAAAAAATACGGTAACTCGGTAAAATTTCCTGAATTACTGAAGGCCAAGACTGTCATTCAATTTACGGTACAAAAGCTCACTTTTCAGCATTTTAATAGCCACTGTGGTCGTTTCAGGACTCCCTCTAAGTCCTACCGCTGTTCCCTTGGCAACCTGACCAAAAGCACCTTTACCAATGATTTTTTCTATGGTCACGTGATGTCTTGGAACTTCCCAGCAGCGTGTTAACGGATGAAGAGGCACATAATCAGCACCTGGAGCTGTTCTTTGTGCTTTTCTATTATCTTTATTGACTTCTATGAGATCCATGTATTCCGCAGGAGGCTGAGTGAGTTTTCTTGAATCAGGTAGACTTGGTTCGATATCTTCTAATCCTGTTTCATTCTATTAAACCAACATGCCGTTAAGGTATTCACATACAAATCTGTTATTAATCCCAGAAAAAAGTTCCACATAGTTATAAAAATCAGTTTACCCAATTTCATCACAGAAACCTTTACATTCTTGCACAGCAAAATATTACAAATAGTTTATAATCTCTATTATCCTTATTATTACTAACAATTTGTCCTCTGCTTTTGAAACCATCATATCCAATGAAGTGATTGAGGTTCATAGCATATTTGCCGAAGCTAGAAACTGCAACATGAAGATTGTCGATTGGTAGTGAAACTTTTTCACAAATACACGCACAAAAAAAAACTCCTGCTGTACTCAGCTCTTAGAATTACGTTTGGTAAAAAAAAGGCATCAAGAAAATAAGACGGCCAAAACTTCGAAAAAACAATTATTTAAAAAGCAAATATCAACCGGGTGCAGACCAGTTATCGATCTATGAAGTGAAGCCACGCACTTGAACCAGGAACAACCCAAGGAAAATCCTTGGAGTACCTTGTTAAAGGACATGAACACAGGACAAAGACCTTATCGAATCTAACTTCCTCCCCTATTTCATTGTATCCTCTACTGATGCAATATGCGTTTTTTTCGTAGACCTACACGTTTTTTCCTTCTTATTGTTGCAATCGTTTATTTTCTTGTAGAAAGTAGAGGTAATATGAAATCACATAATTTCTGGCCACACTAACATGACCTTAATGTCTTAGCTGTTACTTACGTCGTAAACACCTCTTTCATCTTCATAAGTCCTACAATTGATAAAGCATACGAATATTTATAAAAAGCTGAGAATTTCATCAGCTTTAAGTGGAATTTTGTGTCAAGATGAAACCATATCTGGCACATTACATCGACACAATCCAAGTGGCAGCAAATTCGTACCTCTGTTTCCCTACAGCGACTGAAAAAAAGAACGAAAGAAAAAAAGACAAATGATGTGGACGTGGGTCAAAGTTTGCTTTTGTATAAAATGAATCTTTCAGCCAAACCCTCTAACACAGATTATGATTTTTTTTTTACTTACCTTTCCTGTGTAGCCAGATTATGTAAATAATTAGAAGAAGGATTGTGAAGGCAAGAACCCCAATTATGGCTAACAAGACGTTGTTAGATGGGCAGTTACATTCCTCAGGACCTAAAATGGTTAATTATACTAAGCTTGATCAAGTAACGTTCAAACAATATTTGCACTGATCCTGGTCGATAAACTGCTCTCACTACATAGCTTAGGCTAATGACCAAAAGTCTAACTCTCATTGGCGAGGTACTAAAGAAAAGTAAAGTGCTAATCTTTCTATAATAATTTCTAAAAGTAATATTTTGTTCAATTGACTAAAAACAACAACGACAAAAACAAAAACCGTAGAAATACATCACTCACAGAAACGAGTTGTTTAATTACACAGATACGGAATACAATTAGAAAAAGGCCGTTTTCGGAAGAATACGAGTAAAAATTTAACACTCTGACATGTTTTGATGCTACTCTGGTTAAAAGATTTAATGAACAGGCCATTTTACAGTTGTGTACTTGGTTGCTAATCCTTTGATTTGGAGTGAGGCTGAAGTTGACCATGTAATGATAGAGACAAGTATCTAGTTAGTATGATAACAAAGTCATTTACACTTGAAAAGCTACTAGGTTTGTATCATAACAAGATCACCTTCAGCCTCACTCCTGTTCAAAGGCTTGGCAACCAAGCATGCAACTGTAAAATGGACTGAAAGTAACCGAGAAGTTACAGTTCATAGAACCAACGTTGTCAACACTCATGTCTCACCGCCTTCGTCATGGGTGATCTAATCGTTGCACAAAGAGGTCCTTTTACACGCTCACTAATTGGCTGCCCTTTTTTCTGGCGAGGTGTAAATATGTGTCAGGCAGTAAGCCACCACCATCGCAAGGAGCGTGGGCAGAGTTGATATGCCAGGCTTCCAAACAAGGACGCTGGTGGTAACATCGATAAGTGGTGATAATTTTGAAATTATCCCACCCAGTTGTATGGTTAGTTAGGCATGTGTGCTCCGACAAAGCTGAATTTTCTTTCTCACGAAAGGAGACCAGTTTTTGATGCTCTTTCAAACGTATACCAAAGTGACGTTTGGTCAGTCCGATATACTCATGATCACAGCCATTGCACGGAATAGAATAAAAAGCGTCTGTTAGTTGTTCATTTGTGATTGGATCCTTAGGTTTGGCAAAAATATGCCCTTAGGTCTGAAAGGGTTTTGATAACCATAAACGTTTGGGCTATTCAAAATTCTCTTGATTGGTTCTGTAACACCCTGAATGTGAGGAATAACAGCAAAGAAAGCCGCTGGTTCCTTCTCATCAGGAGTATTACTGGTTGTAACTTCATTCATTAAATCTTTAAACCAGAGTAGCACTAAACCGTGTCTGATTATGCGCCTGGTTGCTTTGTGAACTTTAATATATTTAACAATTTCTTTGTTATTCTTACCTTTTGTCGTACTTTCCAAGCCGTCTGTGGGGATAAAAAACTATTTTAGAGCTCAGTGAAAGTAACTGACAGTGGTTAAAAACAATAGAGTTCCTCTCTGGTGGAAAAAGTAGTGCTGATACAGTGATCAACGTAGCGACCCCAGAGTCCAGCCCCCCTATTTACGCCTGATGGATGGCTTTGTCTCTTTGTAATGCGTTTGCATGTCAAGGGTCGCTTCCCTGTCATTATAAATAAGTCTCGTATAGGACTGTAATTTCTGAATTTGATATTATTCATACAGCCATCTGCTATGAGTGTAACTGCTGCCGTTTAATTATTATCATTTAATTAACTTGTTAACTGAAATGTAGTAATAAAGTACCCTGCAAAACAACTTCTCGTACATCAGCTAATAGGCCTCTGGTTGGCGCACAAATATCAACCACGACTTAAGTGAACTTTTTACATTGCTTCAGGTTTTTGCAAGCGAAGAATTCACCCGTAAAAACCTCGATATTGATGAGACGGAGAGGGCATGAAAACTAAGAAAAGAAAAGGATAAACCTTTGAAAGTAGAAATTAAGATTCATTTAAACATACTTCCTTCTGCCTTGACTTGCTGGATATTTGCTTTCTCTTGTTTCAGGCTTTCACCAAGCTCATTAGTTGCAGTAATGGCAAACTGATACACCTTTCCTCTCTCCAACACTATTTTCAATTCTCTCACAGAAACATCTCTGATTTTCTTTATTTCTGTCCACTGTCCTACTTTCCCATCAATCGCTACTCTTTGGTACACTGTATACATGGTAATAACTTTTCCATTACTTTCTGGCTCCTTCCACTTTAGGGTAATTGTATCGTCTGTTGTTTCACCTGGTAGTTCGTCTATTTCGACCACATCTGGGACTCCTAGATTAATTTCAACAACACGTACAGCGTGAAATTTCTAATAATTATATAACTTCTTGTTACAAACCTAGTCACAACCATTATCAGTGATTAAATAATCTGTAAATTGTTCGAGGATTATTTTGGGATATTTTTAAAACAAAAGCGTATATCAAGCGAAATTATGTTAAGTACTGAGATGAATTCAAAATAGCTTGAAAGGACAATTCGCCATTCATTTGTGGCACGTAATTACAGGAAGGAACTCAATTTACGTGCACCTATTTTCTGCTTTTGAAAGTTTGACATTGCGCGTGACTTAGTACAGGCACTCGGCAATGACACAGCGTAAAACTGAGTGCACATGCTCCGCTTCCCGAGCCATTTGATTGTCCAGGGCTTCGGCTCTTTTTTCTCCAAACATAAGCTGACACGGGATTTTCCGTTGAGACAACAAGCTTTTTTCTCCAGGGAGTTTGCCAACTGAGGAGGCGATAACAAGAAGAGCTAAAGCGATAACAGGTGCGAGGAACTTCGCAGCCATGTTACGACTGCTCAGCCGTAACATAGCATGGTAAAAGGCAAACAATACTTGATAAACAGGTAGCATTTACAGAATGTAGCCGCGTAGGTTGTCTACTGTTCTCACTCATGTTTACATGTGGTTTATTTATTATTATGCTTCTTCAAACGTAGGTAAACTCGCTAAGGAGGAGACAAACACTTAAAATCAAAAATCTTATCATGCGGCAAGCAGATAACATTGTTAAAACTGGGACAAATCTAAGTTTGCAGCAAAATGATTGGTGTAAAGTGCTCAGTCACGAAATCACTTGTGATTCCTCACCTTCAAACTTGGTCTTAATTGTCCTTACAGTAGGGTCTCCCTCGAATACAAAATTTCTGGAAAACAGTTTCACCGTGTAGTTGGTATTTTTCTCCAAACCACGAAACGAGTAACTTGTCGTCCCAGGATCGGTGATATCATCCTTTTCTATCTCAGTTTCACCCTTTTGTAAGATCATTCGGTATCCTGTAATCGGACTTCCTCCATCATCAGCTGGTGCAGTCCATCTTATTGTTATAAAAGTTGCTTGAATTAATGATTCTGATGATTTGATGGATGCTTTCCCTGGTTTCTCTACATAGTGCCATAAAAAAAATGATTTTGCAAAAAAAGAAGGAAGGAGAAACTTTTTGGGTGATTATCATACAGTATGTCCTTGTATTATCATAATTTAATGTATATGTAGCTACCAGATAAATTCAACCAAGAGCCTAAAAAAAGGGGAACAATTAAGAGTCCATGGTGGAGGATGTTTCCTGTGGATACACGCATGAGGGGATGTCAAAAAGGTACCTTTCAGTATGCCTCATTGGGGTAACGAACGCGAAAAATATGTGAAGGTCTAACGCTGCTAAAGAGGGGAAAATTGCGAACGGGACGCTCAGCGGCCAAATTGTTAGAAAATGAAAAAAATAGTAGAATGATAAATCTATTATTCGATGTTTGAACATAAGCTTAAATTTTTAAACACATTTATGGACCTTACAGATTATCCACACGTATTATACTTTAAATAATCGAATGACTTGTACAAAGGGAATGAGTTACCTTGTCGAGTACTTTGTAAGAAAATTTGGCTTTTACTTCTATTACACCTGAAACAGCGATAGTGAGCAAGATGCAGACCTTATATATAGTTTTCTTCTTATCAAAATACACTGACCTTTTTTACTTACTTATCTGATTTATCTTTATTAATTTCTCATCAGATGGAATGAGTCCATTAGCAGCAATGCACTTGTAATGACCAAAATCTTGATCACCCCTGAATGGCACTTGTACTTTGTTTTCTCTGGCTGTGACTCTGTTTATTTCACTTCCTTCAGGTTTGTACCAATAGAGTGTTGGTGTAGGAACACCATCAGAAAGACATTTCAAGCTCACTGTCTGGCCAATCCAAGACTTCTTAGATGACGTTGTGACATTTTGAATTGTTGGCGGGTCTAAGAATAAATACTAATGCAATAAGCAACTGAACAAATAATTGGTGATACTTCATATCAATCAGAATATTTATGAGCTTTATCATGCCTCCACTGTGTCATTTTACTAAATGAAATTATGAGAAGAGGAAAAATATGCCACCGTATTACACTTTAGAACAAGGCAAAAATACGCAGCAACATTGGTCGCACTGAACGATCCAAACAAGCTGGGCATTATTTTTAAGCAAAGATGTGGGTCACGACTTCAAGCCGATAAATAACTTATTAATCCTCTCTTTTCCCTCTCTCTCCTAAATTGCTTTGAATGCCAGCAGAATATTGGTTTAGAAATGAATTTTTGGTAGAAACATTTTGTCATTAAATGGGTTGACTCGCGGCCTAAAAACCGTTTGTAATTAATTTCAAGCCTTCACAAAAAGTAACTCAGAAAGTTAAAACGTAAGGTATTTGTTTAAAATTGAATCAATTAATTTCATTGATTCAATAGCAGAGTGCAGCGTAGCCCAAACCTATAAAAAAACAGTAGTAATAACAGTAACTCATCAAGCCGGAAAATTTTGATTGTATGACCAAAATAGGGCAGGGCATGAATAGCAATTACGTAAGTAGAGGGGAAACAGAGCAAGTAATGCGCACCTGCGATCGAGTGCGTACCTCGGAAATCCCATTTATTTGGATTCGTGTGCACTACAAAAATCAAGTAAAAAGTAGGGTTATTTAGTATTTTCAAGTGAGTTGATAACGTAAGTTAGCTACCGTAAAGAGTTACCAAGCTGGCTTTTCAATAGCAGGTAATTTAGTGTTAACAACTGGGTTGAAAACGTAAATTAGCCACCGTAAAGGGTAAAAAAGCTGACGTTTCGAGCGTTAGCCCTTCGTCAGAGCGATTAGAGGAATTGTGGGTTGAGTGTGGGTTTATATGTAGGAAGTGGAGCTACGCCATTGGTGGGAATGTGGTGACGAGAAAACAGGAATAAATTAGTTGAATGAAAAGCGCTCGTTGATTCCGTGGGGATTAAGGGTGCCGATTTGGAATATAAATTTTTGTTCTAGTGTTTTACGGCTTTCCGAACTGCCTAGATGTAAGGAAAGGCCGCAAAAAGATAGTGCCAGTCTCTGAATCGTTTTGGAGTAATTTAAAATTTTTAAGAATGATAGATTTAACTGCGTGGTTGTGAGGGTGAAATGTAAGAGTAAATGGAATGCGGTCAGTGTTCTCCTTCTCGGCCGTTTGTAGTGCTGCCTGTCGATCGATTAGTTGGGCACGGTGGTAGCCCGCTTGAACGACAGAAACAGGATAGCCGCGTTTATCGAAAAACTGGCACATTGCCTCTGATTTTTCGGAAAAATTAGAGTCGTCACTACATAAACGACGAAGTCTGAGAAACTGTGAAAAAGGTATGGAGTTCTTGACGTGTGATGGATGTGAGGATGAATACAACAAGTAACTATGTGAATCTGTAGGTTTGTAGTAAACACTAGTACATAAGCCGTTGCCTTCAATTGAAATTTTGATGTCTAGAAAAGCCAAAGAAGTGTCGGAAATTTGCAAGGTATGTAGAGACTGGCACTATCTTTTCGCAACCCCCACAAATTTATATTCCAAATCGGCACCCTTAATCCCCACGGAATCAACGAGCGCTTTTCATTCAACTAATTTATTCCTGTTTTCTCGTCACCACATTCCCACCAATGGCGTAGCTCCACTTCCTACATATAAACCCACACACAACCCACAATTCCTCTAATCGCTCTGACGAAGGGCTAACGCTCGAAACGTCAGCTTTTTTACCCTTTACGGTGGCTAATTTACGTTTTCAACCCAGTTGTTAACACTAAATTACCTGCTATACTCTCCCACCCACGCAGCACCACAGTTTCTTTAGAAACTTACCCCTTTATTCATTTGGCTTTTCAATACGTCAGCTTTTTAACTCTTTACGGTGGCCAATTTACGTTATCTTGTGCGTGAACACACTTTGGTTGGAAGGTGGTTGAAAGTCCAAATCAGGAGGCTTAGGAGGGGCTGCAAAAACTTGGAGACTAGGTTTTTAATGTCCGCCTTCAAGCCAGCCTGGCTGAAGAAGATGCAGTGGGCTTAACTACAAGTATAGCGCTCGCATGCAGCCCAGCCACCACCCTATTCTAGGATGGGATGCAAATCTCTCTTTGTGGGAAATTTTAATTTTGATAAGGTTTTTTCTTGGATATTGACTTGGTGTGTTTTGGTGAATTTGTGTAGATATAAATACACCTGTTTGCAGTTTGAAAATATAAACACTTTTCTTTTCTTATCAAAAAGGAGATGCATGATACATGTATATTTCACATCGAGAAAACACAACATTTTTATAGTGCGAAGATGAAACAAAGACTTGACATCAGCTATTGTGCTGTTCCTTTTTCCTTATAATTTATTCTGTTGTCACCTTTTTCTTGGAATAAAAGTGTATTTATTTCTTGGAATTTTTCAATTGCAACGTTTTGAAAATGGGTGTATTTATGTACAGTCAAACCTGTATTGAGCGGTCACCCACAGGACATTGCACTCCACAGAATAGGGTTAATATTAAAAATGATAAAAAGGCCATGTTATGCCATAATTGATCATTTTATGTTAAAAAAAAACTCGTTAAAATATTACTAACATTAATTTCGGGAGAGAAACATAGATTAAATTTTACTACAAAAATCATAGTTTTAATTGAATGGTTCCTTTCTATGAGACTGTTCATTACAGGTGGAAGACAATACAAACAGGTTGTTGTCACTCACTCAAAGGTGACCACAGCGATTAATGAGAAAAGAAGTTGAGACTTTAACAACTGGCCACTAAATACAGGGTGACCGCTTATAGGTTCGACTGTATTATGGATTCAGCAGCAGTGGCAGCTTTTTATGACAGACTGAAATAAAGACTTACATTGCACAGTGACATAAACTCTTACTGTCTTTTCCTGTCTCACTCCATTGCTTGCGATGCAAACATATTCTCCTGCATCATTCCTGTTACTACTGGAGATGTTCAACTGTTTGGTGTTAGACAGTTTAATCTCAGATTTTTCCCATCTTATCTTAGGTTCAGGAAAACCCGAGGCATCACAACTCAAAGACAGAGGAGTTGACGCATTAACTGTTATATTCTGTGGCACTTCTGTAAACTGGACAGGAACTAGATAAGAAGAGAGGAACAACAAAATTCTCACACCATAATATTAGAGTGCAATTTGGTTCAAAACCATCCACTTCAAACGCTATAGAAATAAGATTATAAAATGTAGCACATACAAAAAAATATCAAAAATGGAAACAAACTTTCACTATGTCAGCTAATCAGAATTTGCATCTGTTTTAAAATAATCTAATGAAAAGCAGAAGTTCACAGTTTTTGGAAGACACAAGATAATTGCTCTTGAATAATGTCTTGGTTTTTTTTTAACCAAAAAAATAAAATCAAACCTGGGATTAATCTCAAACTTGTACCTAAATTCCAGGATTTTTGCTACACGTTAAATGTACAACCTTGTAAATGCTCCCATAAAGTTACACAAACTTACAGACTTCTTGTGTCTAAAAACAGTCTAGGGTAACCATGGGATGCCATTTCCACAAAATAATTTTTTTGTTTCTATCATGCACAAGTCAATCATTATTAGATTTGTTTCCGTATTATAAGGCACAAGTTCATCATAATTAGGCATTGTTTTTTATCATTAGGCACCTGTTCATCGTTGTTAGGCACCAGTTCATCAATATTAGGCACCCGTCTAACATTATTAGGTACAAATCCATCATTATAAGGCACCAATTTATTATCATCAGGCACAACTTTTGCTATTAGGCACCCATTTATCATTAGGCACTGGTAAAATTTTTCAAGAAAGGCATCCTTCACCAGTATTTTTCCCAGGTACCTAGGGTGGGAGCATTGTGCGGAAAGCTGAGAAACGCTTGTGAAGGAGACACTTCTTTAGCTGGAGAGCAATACAAAGATGTTTGTAAAGCCACACAAAATGTGCCTCATCCCAGACTTTTTTCTCCTTCCCCTCACCCACCTTAAATTCCTTGCTCATTCCCATTACTCCCAGGAAAAGCCTATAGCGGGGCAACCTGAATACCAGGCTCTATATTCTTCCCTGTTCGGGGTTGTAATAATTTGCTGTGTGGAAATTGTTATTGATGCAAGTAAACTGGTAAAAAACGTTTTTCCCATTTCGGATTATAATTCCAAAGTACTCAAAAACGCTCAAATATGTTTCTACCCACCATTTATGTTAAGTCTCACAGTAGCTTCTACTCCGTCTCCAGCGTCATTATGTGGGACACATTTGTACTTGCCATAGTGCTGAGATCGATTGACGTCATTGAGAGTATACTCACTGTTGCTGTTTCCACTTAGGAGGCGGCCATTGAAATAGAACTTGTAAATTGACACTTGAGGCACAGCAGCCATAACTATGCACTTAAATGTAACAGTGTCTCCTTCAGTGACAGTATTTTGTGGAGCATTAGTAGTGAGCCTTGCACCTTCGGGTTTGTCTAAAAATGTAAATCAAATCAAAATCTTAATCTCTGTTTATTATATGGCTTATACATTCCCCCTGGTTATAAATCATACCCTCCTGTAAAAGTATAGAGGGTGCATGATAATGCAACACGAATGGGTTAATCGTGTGTGGGTTAATTTAGTATCAATCCATGGAGTCTCTTGGTCAGAGAATATAAGGCTTTTGTGGTGAAAAATTGCAGCAATTCATCCACCCATGGTTAGAATGCTGACTAAAAGCAAAATACTTCAACTCACACATTGCATGCTGAAAAACAATGGCACTACTGCAGCAAGAAAAATGACACCAAGTATGTCGTTACAAGGAGACGGCCGACTTTACTTGTAATCGAACGTAAAACATTGTCGCTTGAACAGAATTTCAAGTGAAAATCCTTAATTTTGAGCCGAAAGACAAGTGCCCTAGACAAGTGCATGTGAGAGTATCTCATCCCGCAAAAAGGCGAAAGCCTAATTTGAATCTATAACATTCCTTATTTCGCACAATTGGTACCAGGACAGAAATTAATTAAAATTATTATTAAATTAAAAGTGAAAAACCAAAACGAAAAACAAGGGAGATTTCGGTCAGGTTGCGTTCATACTATTGTGCTTCGTTTTACTTCCCGAGAGTCTGAAACAGGCTGAATAAGTTATAATTGTGTTAAGAAGTATTTCAACTTCGCATGGGCGATAGAATGTAAACTACTTGTTTGAACAAATAAATTTTTTTTATATCAAGTGCAAGCAACTAAATATTTGATAAGCACAGTGTCAACAACATTGAAATTGAACACCTTTCTTTGAGTTCTGTTCGTAGGAAAGCTTATGTTAACATGTCAAATATAATTCTTTAGGGAAAGTGCTGCATCGCCATGATAATTATTGCCTATGTCTTATTCTTTTTGTTTTTTGTTTTCGCAAAAATTAAATATTTTGGTGAGCTTCTGTGTGAATAGACTCTCTTAAAGTGAGATCAAAAATTGATTTACTTGATTGAAGTTTGTAGGGCATGAAATGTGTGTGGAAAAAAGATGCACTCTTATGAAGAAAAATTTGTCTGATTCCTCGAGCTTTCAATGGGTTTTGCCCAAGGGACGTGACACTTTTTCCACTGATAGGAAAACGTTTTGGAGTTAAGAGGTGCAGTGTATAACATAACTCACCAACACTCCAGGAAATTTCTTCCATGTATCTATAATATCAACAACTAAACTTGGGGGGAGAACTTGGGGGGAAAACAAGTTTTTTTAAAAACATTTCACCTTTATATCGATAGGCCTTATTTTCATTGGCTGAAAACCTAAATGAAAGCAAAGTGATATTCAATGGGACGGATATTACAGTGGCTGAACATGCTGATGGGCATTTTGTTGCAAGTGATCATAGAGGCTGTTAAATGACTGTCCGCTGCGACTGCTGTGAATGTGACGGAAAGGTTAAAAGTATTGCAAAGACTATTGGGGTGAGTTTTTTGCGACTTTGAAACCATCGACAAAACATTGCCACATTTTCTCAGTTGATGAAGGGCGAAAATTGTAGTGCATTGAAGACTGATCGAGTTTCTGTGGCCCGAAATAAGTCAAATGTGGCGACCCCTCAAACCGGCTTCAGAAAGCAAAGTATATTGGCTGTGGCGCTATCAATGTGGTTTTTGTAGACCTTGGTAAGCACTACCTTTGTACTCTCATAAAATAAAACTTTCAGCTCAAGGAACAAAATGGACTGGTTAGGGTGCCAGAACCTGCTCCTCTGTTCTTTAAATCTTTTATTTTAAAATATGACTTTGGGGCTGTTAAGTTATCGAGACTTTCAAGAAACGGGCTCCAGATGTTGTTAACGGTACGCAATTTAATCCAGTTACGCTTGGAACAAGAAAAAAATAAAACATCACTCTTTGGAATATCTTTGAAATGTACAGCCTCAAAGCTCTGTGGCCATCTGTATCATTCTGTATTTCTAGCATTCAGACCGCTTTCTTAAAGCTAAATTGCCTTGAAGTCTGCCTAGGTGGTTTGTCATCATCTTGTCGTGTGTCAGTGTTACATACCGCTTCCCTTGTTCATCCTGGAGAAAGGCAAAACTGTAAGCTATACCAAGCTTCCCTCCACAGCCTCTTATACAACCCGTTTACCACTCAACTTGTAAAGGCAGCTTAGTTGACCTTAACCCTTTTCTTTTACAGCAGGTTTTTAAGCATCTGGACAAGTGGACAAGTGGCCAGGGCCGCTGGGTTTGTATAAATGGGTGGTTCCAGGTTCAAGCCTTCCACCCTGCTTCTCACTGTATTTCTTCGCGGTTGCCCCATGTTCAACTCTTCGGCTGCACTTTGTATGTTGCCAGCTTGTCTGCCTCCTGTCATGTATGATCAGAAAACGTCAAGAAAAGAAAGTATGTCTTTTCCTTCTTTCTGACTGTTTAACTTTGCTTGGTTAATAAGTCACTCCAATGTTCCTGTTGCACAAAAACAAGTTCATAGTCTTCGAACAGAGGAAAAAATACCTCGCACAAGATACACTGGTTGCAAGATTAAGCAACATGGGCTTGAATACTAAGATAAAACAGCCCAAAACGTTCCTTTCTAGGAAGGGCAACCTTTAGTTTCTGTTTACAATTACATGCAAATTAATCAAAACATGAAAAAATTCAAATTCCTTCAGAAGGCTTATTAACTACTAAATAAACGAGAGTTAGGTCCTTATGGGGAAATCTGAAACTAAGGCTTTACATATTGATTGAGCAATAGCAAGGTCAATACCGCTGGCCTGCGGCTTGAGTTTTTCCCATAAAGACCAATCTATTGAGGTTATTGAGTTGTTTATTATATGGCTTACAAACAGAAGGAAAAATTGATTTAAGTAGAAGTCGTCAATTTACACCAGCAATGTAAATCCCTCGACTCACAGTTTTCCACTGAGTGATCTAAGCTCTATAGAAAACGCAGCTTTATATTTTGTCTCCCTGTTAGGGTTCCCGATTCCAAACATCAAGATCCAAAGGATCGTACAGCGTAAATAAGAAGCTCGAAGCGTAAATAAGAAGCTCGAAGCGTAAATAAGAAGCTCGAAGCGTAAATAAGAAGCTCGAAGTCAAATCCAGCAAAAAGCTAATTACTGTTCACCCCAACAAGGACTTGTTTGTCAGGCTCCTCATTGCATCCAGTTTGGCTAAAAGATGTGCTGAGCTTCGAACTGTCCTCAATCCCATATTCACTCACTAATAGAAGTCTTACAGAAGGTGTTAAGAGCACGTTACGCTCTCTTCTAGAGAAAGACGTTCACACAGTTCAGTCACTTACAGCATCAACAAATCCAGAGGTTGTTATTATCAATGGCATAGTAGTTCTACAGAAGACAAAATCTTCTGCGCCCCTTCTTTTCTAACCTTCTGCAAGTCCACCTAGTCTTTAACCAATACTGGGCGACTTTATTAAAGGAGGTAAGCGTCAACGAAGGGGAACATCCATTGACTTCCAGGTTTTAATCGGAGGTCCTGTCACTCCAGTACCAACCCAAAAAACAAGGCATGGCTCGAATTATATAGTTCAGCATGTTTTATTTTTATCATTGATTTCTAATTTCGTTGCCGGCAACTTAAATTTGTAGCTATCGACATTTGTTGCGTCAAGATCATTTTGTTGCGTCAAGATCAATTTTTCAACGTGAATGTTGAATTTTTGACACTCGATAAACTTGTGCGATTACCTTTTGGCTGCTCTCAGCAGACCTGGCAATAGAGAAGCCTATGTTTGCAGCTTATACATGATCACCAAAAAGATAAGCATTACAGTTAATTTGTGTTCTCTCATGTTCTGCCAGAATAAGCAAAAAAAATAAATGCTTCCACCCACAACCGATTGTCTACGTCAACATCTGGAGCATTCAACTACCAAGCATTCGGTTGGAGTCATGCTCTTGAAGCTATGCAGGATCTTAGATCACCAGAGGGTCATGGGTGGGTGTTGGACGGGGAACTTCTCGTACTACTGCCAATCACAAAAGCACCAGCACCAGTTAGCCTTCTTAAGCTGATGACGCGCAAGATATCTGCCTACCAGCAAATTGCTCCTGTAGCAACACAGGACTTGCTTGCACAGAAGTGTGCTTCCGCATGGCAGACGATGAAGCATGTAGTAACCGCCATGGTCTGACCTGCATCAGTGACTCAGAAGAAAACAATGAAGAGAGTAGCTTTGAGAGGAACTGTAAAATAGCTAACATATAAGGTGTCCATGTTTAAAAGGTTAACTTTCTGTCTATTAACATTGGAGATGAGTCACTTGAAAGCTAAACAGACCAAAATAAGTTATAGGCTCGTGCTTTTAGTTGCAATAAGTATTGCTCTGAGGAAAAAGGTGGTGTAAATACAAGATTTGGAAAGACAACATAAATATGATTTCATTTTAGGCAGGAAGGCGGATTTAGGCCCCTTGGAGGTCACATGCTTGGTCATGTGACGTAATTTGCAGATGGTGAGTATGGCTGGCCTTCTGCCATTAAGAGCTAAAGATATAATCGGAAGAACATAAGAAATGGTAGCAAACAGTGGTTACCAGAGTGAGCCTCTTTTTCATGTCAAACCATGCTTGAAATTGGGCGAAAATGATATTTCTCTCATTGCTTTAAGCTGAATAAGCAAACAATTGGCCGAAACTGCAGATTGTACAACTCTTTCATAGATAATAGCAGAATACTGAGGGATATTTCATTAATTTTTGCCTGTTATGGAGCGGCAAGTTCAATAGTTCAGTATTTGTGATGGAATACGATTTCCTACATGTACAATGATCCTGATTATGTCCGTAGATTAAGTTATCATTATTAATGTCAAACTTACGAGCATGATAACGAGGCCAAGGTACGCAAGTATTCCCTTACGTTAATAGGTATAAGAACATTTCTTGACTTGAAAAATAGAAGTAGGTCTGAAATTCCTTTAAATCTTAAATCTTAAGCAGGCAGTTTTAGTTTCAGCCAATATTTGCATCTATCAGCTGATCTCAGCTTTCAGTAAAACATGAATGTAATTTGTCAGCTGACAGTCAGAATATGCGCTAGCCCTGTGTGCTAGTCACACGGAGTGAATTTTGGGTACCTGAGACCAATGCATATAAACCCGAAAAGGATTTGAGAAGGAATTCTGTTTCCTTACACTTTTGAACAGATTCGTCAGTATCGTGTCACTGACCTTAATAACAGAAGGCGCCCTATAAATAATAAAGTAAATTAAAAAATCGAAAATTGAGGTTAAAATATACTTACAGTGAACTGAAATTGTTGTGTCAATAGAAGTGACTTGCACTGAGTTATTGGCTCGACATGTATATCGTCCTGCGTCTGTTCTGCTTATATTATCGAACTTTAAAAACGCAGCTTTCTTCAGCAGTACTCCATTTCTAATCCATGCTACATCCGGAAGTGGTTTCCCAGAAGCTCTACAGGCTATGGTGACAGGGGAGCCTTCGATGTAATATTTTCTTCCTAAAGAGAGGTTTATAAGTGGTGGCTCTGAAAGGTAACAGAGACTATAAATCACTCCTCATGTGGCGTAGCAAATCTTACTTGGACTGAGTCTTAGAGTTTGTCCAATTTCAATAAAATAAACAAAGGCATTGAACAATTGGTCCCCGACAACCAACTAGTATAAGGAGGGTCAAACTTCATTCAGTACAAGTTAACCTTAAAAGAAGAACTTACTCATCTCCTTGTACTAATTGTACTTTTACCAAACATTAGAAAATTTGATTCCTCATTACGACTGTTCTGCTAAAGGAGTTCGCAGAGTGGAGTTTCTTTTTCTCTGCATTTTGAAGAATTATACCCACAAATAAAACGTTCTTAAGCCCAAATCAAACGCAAAGAAAACGAATTACTTCCCTGCATTCAGAATGGACTGTATGGAGACCACTGTTTACGATTTGTCCTATAACTAATATAATTAAATGTGTTGTTCCTTCCCAACAGAGAGGTTATCACTCAACAATTTAAACATCCTCAATCTCTCTATATTTATATGCTACATCTGTCTATATTTGTAATGAAGCAGCATCATTTCATCAGAGCTCTGAGAAACTACAGGAGATGACAGGAAAGAAGTTGTTAAGAGGCAGAAAGTGGAGAGGTGACACCAAAAACACCACTTGATTCATCTTTGTACTGGAAGTAATATCCTTGTTGCAAACTAAAGGTTTAAGGATGAATGCAAAAAAGACCTTGCTAGCCAGAGTAGCTGAGAGAGTATTGGTGAAAGGAGGAAAATCTAATTTAATGGCAGAAGTAAAACCTTGATTTTTAATAGTACTGAGTGCTAGTATGTGCAAGTATTAAAGGTTGAGGAAACTGTATGTGGTTTCCTTAAGAATGGAGTGGCTTGTTTGAAAAGTTCCTTGATCTAAAGGTGGATAATACTACTTGTGTGTCTTAAAATATTTCCATCTTCCCCCTTAACTATGATAGGCCCTATTAAACTTTTTTTTAGATTTTAAGAGCCACCAATTTGGAGAGCTTCGAACTGAAGTTGTAACAAAGATATCATTTGCGTAAGTGTACATGAACTTGATCTACAGTTTCTTAACAATACTGTAGCTTGTCATCCCGTAAACAATATTACAAAATCTTGCAAGGAATTATGGAATAAGCAAAAACTATTATAGAATTCTATGTACTTTGTTTAGATTTATAACGGCCTATACTCAAGACTTAGAGGTGCTAGCTCTTGAAGAATCCCCAAAAATCTGTTAGGTACATTAGAGCCTTACGATCGAGAGTTACATAGCAGAACATGTTTCATCATATGTAAGTGCAATGAAATTATAGCTTAAGGATACAACAGCCTTTCAATAAGATATAATATGATTAAGGTAAACGCTCTCAGTGCTACATATCACAAGCTGCATTCAGTTGGAGCACCATTATTAGGAATTAGGCCTTCTAAATGTGTGAAAACAGCCACCTCCTCCTTGGATTTTTAGAATTAAATGGAGCTATGGGATTTTTTGAGTCCATAATAGACATCATAACTGGCTAGAATCTTTCAGAATAAGCAGTGAAAACATCAAATTAGGGGTCACCTCTATGGGCTGAAATATTTAAAATTTATAAGCAGGCTTCGAGAATGCATTATGTCCCAAAAATAAATGAAACTGAGCTGTTGTGTTACACCAAAAAGCCCCCAAAATAGTTTGATTTAAATTAAAGTTGTTCACAAATACACATTTTTCCTTCTCTATTTAGAGTCACTTGATCTTGGAACCTGGGACAGGAAACAGCTAAGGATGAGGAAATAGAGAAACCTACTGATGAAACAAAAAACCAAAAAGACAATTTTCACCCCCCAGCTCTAACTCTAGCTCAAGCCAAGTATCCCACCGGTCACTAAAAGAGAAGGTATAAGCCAAAGTGGGAGGTGAACCATCTAAGAAAAAAGAAGAACCATCCAAAAAATTTGGAAAATCTGTTACAAATTAAGACAGTAGTGATGCATGAATAAGAATTGCCATCTTATGGTAAAAACAAAACAAAATATAAAAACAAGATGTATGGCCCTTGATTTTTACTACAAGTGGAATATGAGACATGGATTGGCTTTGAGCTACTTGAACCAAATGCCAATGATGATTCATCTTGCCCCTTTTAAGCCATACTAACCTGGCATCTTTTTATCAAAATACAATTAGGAAAGAGAAGTAGTGTGACAGGTATTGCATTACAGTTAAAATAAGCCAACAGAACTTAGCATTTAAAAATGCATAATTGAAATATTACGATGTAGAAAGTTACATGGTCCCAACGGAGTACAGAGACAATGAAAAAAAGAAGATCATGTAATGGCTAATGTGAGCACAAACAATTTTTATTCACAAGTCATAAAGGAACAAGCAAGTGAATGTAGCAAACAGTGAGTTCATTTGGATTCTTCACAACAAGTGTCATATAATCCTTCAAGCGAACAATCAGGTAAATTGTACATGAGCATTGAGATATCCAGTCACAAATGTTTTCGACTTTGGATCACAGTCAAATGACCAAGAAGTTACAAACTTAATAACACTCTCATTTTCATTTACTAAATGTTCTTAAGACATTTGAAATACTGTATTTGATTTAATGAAAGGTGAAACACTCAGAAAGAAGTATATTAAAGTTCACACAGCAACCAGGTGGACAATCAGACATAGCTTGATGCTACTCTGGTTTACAGATTTAATGAATGTAACTGAAGAAGTTACAATTCATAGTCATCTATGCATACCAGAGCAACCCAATGACTCTTTGATAACTCTTTGATTTCTTAGTAATGAAAAACAGCCAAGTAAATGGTAGAATTTCTTTTCTCCTTTTAGGAGTGTGGTGTCTCATGCCAAGTAAAACCAAGACTATTGTTCTCAAAAGTCGGGTTAGCTAGCCACTTTCAGCCCTGCAGATAACGGTTTGTGCAAATGTATGCTATTGTTTACTTTCTCTAGATCTCAGAAATGTGAGAGACATGAGTTGAATGCATTTGATTTATGTTTGATTATTAGTGGTCATGTCTGCAATACGTACCTGCCACAATAGGCCAAACAGTACATACTACTGAGTAGAGAAACTCTCCAAACAATTCACATTGAAATGTGCTATTGTCTCAAGGGTTGATGTTCTTGATAACCAGGGTAGCTCTTCCTTCAATTTTAACTCTTCCTTTGTAACATAGAGGAATTTTAGGATGATCTTAGACACCTGACCACTTTCATTAACTATCACTTTGCTATAATGTTTACTTTCCTCAGATCAGAGGAGAGACATGAGTTGAATGCATTTGATTTATGTTTGATTGTTCATCATTATATCTGTAATAAATACCTGCCAAAATAAGTTCCACTGTACTTTCCAATGAGTTGAGAAAGGTTCCATACACACCACATTTAAATTTGGTATTGTCTCTAACATTGATGTTCTTGATAACCAGGGTTGCTCTTCCTTCAATTTTAACTCTTCCTTTGTAAGATGGAGGAATGTCAGGATGTTCTCGGACACCACGACTATCATTAACCATCATTCTGACAAATGTACCACCTACAAAAACACTATAGATAATGCTCTGAACGTTATTATGTGGATCAGTGTAGTCCCAAACTAGGTTGGCATCACTACCATTGTTGAAGTAGCTTGGATTAGAAGGTTCCTGGGTGAAACGCACATTCACACCCCCTAAAATAGACAACCATAAACATAATATTCTCAGCCCTTTGGTTACATGAGTAAGGATAATATTAAGGAAGAAGGCCTTAAATAGGGTCCACCACAAGGCATTTTTAGTGTAAGTAGTAACAACAATAAGTGTAAATATAATAGAATTGATATTCCCTGATATATCAATCAGCTCAAAGTATACTTTCATTTGTTAGGAAATAAGGTTCAATAACAGTAATGTGCAACAACTTGTGCCTTACGAAAATCATTTTGACAAGTTCCACCTTCTTTAATTTTCCGAAATGTACAGTGGTGAATTTCCAAAATTTAAAAGTGGTACACTTGAAGAAATTTTTTGAAGAAGAACTTGTTGAGGTGGAAAAATGGGAAGTGGAAATGTCCACACATATTATATGTTAACACATCAAATGAGGGATTTATTAATTCACTCATTTCATTTTCTAGTCTTTTGATTTCTAGTTTTTTAAAATTTGTATGGTCTTACTTGAGCATCCTACCCATCACATAAGTTGGGCATGAAAGATGAAAACAACAGAAAAGAAACCATTTTAGTGTTATGGATGACCAGAAAGTTTTTGTCTATACAATGAGTGGCTAAACATTGTAAAAGAAAACTAATCATGAATTAATTTGAGGAACTGCAGGTTTTTTTATTTACATTACTGCTGGGAACAAAGAAATAAAAAAAACAAAGAATAAATCAGTTGAGTGAAAAGCATTTGTTAATACAATGGGAATTACGGTGCCAATTTGAAACAAAAATTTTTCTTCTTTCACATGATTTCAAATCATATTGCAAAGGTGGATCAAAATGCTTTCTTATCAGAGTCATAATCTAGAAATTCATTTGTTTGGTACCATTTTGGAGGAGATTCCACTTAAGTTCCTCAGATTGTTTGTCAGGGATTGATCAAAGCATAGCTAAAGACAAAGATTGTGATAAGTTTCATGAGGTGAAATCAGAGTGATTTTGACATTTTTTTTTTGTGATTTTTAGAAGTTCAGCTTTCTCTGACATTATCTTGATAACTCAATTTAATCCTTTAACTCCCTGAGATCAAATTTGTAATTTTCCTTACTGTCAACCATACAATTCTTGTAATGTTAGTTGATAGAGAATTTAGTATTGGATCAACTGATCATCCCCAAATTGAGATTTTTCCTTATTCTCATTACTTATCTGGTTGAATTTGTATTGATATTGTAAGGAGGGTTGACTTCAGTATTACACCAATGACTGACTTCTTGTTTTTGGCCTTGAAGTGATGATTCCTCAGTTGTATGCAACCATCAAACATTGCTGACAATAATTTCACTTTCTTTCACTTTGGCAAGCCTCCACACCACAAAGGCAAAAAACCATAATATTGTTTTTACTGGTCAAAAATGTCATCTACAACTTGTGATTGGTCAGATGCTCATTTCTCTTTTGTGAGGAAAACCATCCAACCTATCAGAATTTGTGCAATTTATTGCAAATCGTTTTTTTAAAATTTAGATTGGGGTAAATCGCACCATGTATA